TATTTGAATTGAATAGTACTACACTTTCATCTGTTTACTCTAATTTTAGAAAAATGATAAATATAATTCAAAATATTTCATGCAATTTTTCTGACAAAATTCAAACTTGTATTGAGGCATGGTGGAATTATGTTTATCATATAATTATGATGGTTTCTTACATGCTTGATCTGCGATTTTTAGAAGAAAGCAGAATTTATAATATAGAGGCTATAGGATATAATACATTTACAACATTTACAACTCAAAAATTTAGACAAGAAAAGACTGTAGAATTATTCATTGAAATTGTTAAATTTCGAAACAAAAGTTCTCCATATGATGATGATATTATTTGGGAATTCGCAGTTAAACTTAATTCAGGTAATTTTTTTATTATTTAAATATATACTGTATATACATAAATCAATATTGAAATTAATAACTTGTATATAAATTAATAGCATTGTGGTGGAAATCATGGCCAGATAGTAGTTTCAAACAACTAGCAATCAAAGTTCTTAAAATTCTAACTTTATCTGCTACAGCTGAACAGAATTTTTCTACATTTGGTTTTATTCACAGTAAACTTCGCAATCGTTTAAATAACAATTGAGTTAAAAAATTGGTTTACATCTATGAGAATCTTTGAATACATGTTGAAAAACCAGTAAATAACAAGACTAACATTAGAATTAATAACAAGACAAGTCAAGAAATTAATCAAGAAATTTATAACAAAGATCAAGAAGTAGAAGATATAATTTATGAAGAAGGATTTTGTGAAAGTATTGAAGAAATTGAACAAATTTATTCATCTGATATTGATAATACTTCAACGATGGAATTGGAATTATTAAATAACTATTGAAAGTGTGAAAAAAAATTGTATGTATGTATGTACGTACATACATACATACATATGTGTAGGTCATATGTATTAAATAACTTGGTATTGCTAAATTTATTCCAGTTTTTCTTGGAATGCTGCATATATATTTGTATACACAAATACCAATACGTATATATACATATTAAAGTTTGAATTTGCATATCAATATATATTCAATTATTATAAAATTTTTAAATAGAATTCTTACCCAATAGTTCTCTTGTTCTTTTCCCATAAAATAAAATTACAATAGTGGTAGAGACAAACAATGTACTGTATATATGTACTGTACGTATATATCTCTTATCCATACGTAAGTAGTTTTGCTAATGCAAGTCAATTAATAACGATTATGGTCATGTGATTGATTGTAATGCAACTCATACCTATATGTAGTTATTTTACAGTTATTTTACAGTACAATAACCTGGTATTTATACCAAAATTTATTGTACGGTATAATTTCTAACCCTAGTCATGTAACAATTTATGTTGCTTCGAAATTAACATATCAATTGTGAATTTAAAAATAATGTATATTACTTGCAACTGGTGAAATAAATAGTACAAATTTAAATTTTGTTAATAAAGGAAATCATAATAAAAAAAGAAAAAAAATCTATTTTTACATGATCGTGTAAAACACACCCACACATTCTTTTACATAGTAAATTGTTTCTTCAACAAGAACTTTAATGTTAGTTTTTGTACAATGACAGAATTAAGTTGATTTTCTCGAGTCCCTTTTCTCAGAATAGTTTTTTTGATGAAAAAAGATGATCATTTTGCCAGAGTTGATAACTGTATTATAACAATATTAAATCAAAATTAAACAGCTTATAATTAATTTGTTTATAAATTACTATATTTGTTAAAAAAAAATTAGTTTTTTACATGATACAACTATACATTTTAAATTGCAGCAAATTATTTTATAAGCTTTTAATCAGACAAATTTTGGTCACTAAATTGTTTTCAGCTTGTTTAATTAAACGAAGCTCTAGCAAATCCAGCATTACCAATAATCGATAGCGCAGTCAGGTGATCTTCCAATCTTCATATGACCTCGGAGACTATTATGTACACTATCACTACGCACTATCACTATGCTATGTATTAATTTTGTATTACATATACACAATACTATTGTTTATTTTTATTATTATTTTACTATTTTTATCATTATTAACAATAAAGAATTTTATGCACAATACCATTGTTTATTTCTATTACTATTTTACTATTTTTTATCATTATTAATAATAAAGAATTTATGATAATAAAAAAATAGAAAACACAAGTTTTTTACAACGTTGTACTAGGTGTAATTGTATTCAACCACTTGAAGAATTTATTGTTGATAAGAGGTGTGGCGGCTTAGTGAAGTGGTCAAGTCGTCACCCTCTCCAAGTAGCAGGTCTAGGGTTCAAATCCCAC